CAGACTGACCAGCCAACAAATTGACCATTCAGCAGAGCCGCCAGGGCGGTTATTAGCTGCGCTCGCTGCAGGCCACATTCTTGGAGAAATCATGAGTGGGTCACACTTGAAATACGCTGGCAATTGAGGACGTTATGACCCAATTTGCCGACTAATTGTCTAATTAGTCCGAGGAGTCCTGAGCTCCATGATCTGCTCGCTCTGTGCGACACTGCTTTTGGGTGAATTAATGTTGCATTTAAAACGAAGCCGGGTACCTTACATTGGAACTTTGTCGTAAAAATAATCCATTCCTGACGATAAACATAAAAATATTAACTTCAAACAATATCCTGAATAAATATAAGTGCAATGAATGAGTGACTGAATGAATTATCTGCGTGTATTTATAAATTATCTATACTTATAATGAATTATCGCGTACATTCCTACCATAACTCAGTTGACAGCATTAGATTCCCTACAGGTATAACGGATAAATAAAAGATGACACACAAACCACCGCACTGCACTTCAGAAAGATGTTTTGTTCAAGTACACATGGCACAATCTTATTTCGCTAATTGCTGCTTTTAAATTAGAGAGAAGCCTGAGTAATAATCCAGTGGCCGGGCTGCCAGCGGTGCGTTCACTTTTGAGATGCTCAGCAAACGCGGAACCGGCTAGCATATGAAAAATATGTTGGAATCCCTCTCACGTTTCCGACTATTCTCACCGCATCTAGGTGAAGGTCACTGACTGTGTGAAGGGCCATTTGGGTGTGTCGAAATGCTAAATAGTTAGATCCGCTTACTTATAACTCCGCAATGATTCGGCTGATCGCACTGAAGCTTGTCCTGCAGCTTGGCAGCCGTGCATTTGCAGAAGCCGTTTTTAAATTTCAAGCAGAGCTGGGTCGATGGTGTCAAAAGATGGCACAATGTTAGAGGCCTAATAGAAGGTTGGCCTGCAAGGTTGGGAGTCTCACCTTCTACATGGACACATACGGAGCACACCATAGCTCCTCTTTGCTTGTCTCCCAAAAAGATGTCCTGGTCATTACTAAAAAAGCACACACACACACACGCGGCAGCAATCTGGTATGTACCCAGGTATGCGAGCCCACACATGCATCTCGCATGCCGGAAGAGCAATTCCGTTCTGACTGAGCGCGGCACGGGGCCCATTATGACAGCAGCGTTGACCTTATCTCCTGACAGATGGGTCATGGGTGAGCGCCCAGCGGAAGACCTGTCCCCACTGACCGACGAGGGTGGGTGGCAGTCGGGAGACCGGGAAAGGGATGGCGGACGTACGACGGACAGGGGGTGATGGGCAGTAGCGGACGCAAGGCCTATGGCGGACGGCAGACGAGACAGACAAGAGGCGACAGGCTGACTGCAGATAGGGGGTAACAGACGGAGCAGTGACAACGGGCGGTGTGTGACCGAGGGGAGGGCTGACGAGAGGCGATGGCAGACAAGGGGCGAAAGGCACTGGACGACAGGGAGAGAGGGTGGGCGACGGGGGATGGCATATGACGACGGTGGACGACATTATATGGGACGGTAGGCGGGAGACGAACGGTAGACGGCAGACAGACGCTAGACAGCAAGCGGCGAGCGGCGGGAGACGGATGTCTACCTACACCATAGCAACGACATACAGCGAGACGGATGCTGCCTGGCCTGCCTGGCCTGAGTGATAGTGCAATACATGTCGTCTACACTGGACAAATCTGTGTGTAATTGTACGGGGTCACTGTCCCACCAGTCGTGATTTCAGACCTTGAGATGGCTGAGCGCCGAGCTACCGAGAACGACGGGTGATAAGCGAATTACTCCTGCGACGTACTGCACAGTCGGAAGTGACAGGGCGTTACTGGCGAAACTATAACAAAACAAGAGCAAACTAAGATGCAATCATGAACGACAAAAAAAAGGAATTCAGATACTCTTCAATATCGCTAGATAGAGCACGGTATGACATTTGACTAATTCTAATTATACAGCTGGTTTCGATTCCTGCTTTGATAATAGGACTATTTGGCTTTAAGCAATGGACAATCACGGCATTATAGTGTTCTTAAGTACTTAAGTACTTTGACAAAATATTTGGACCATGTTGATCCCATTAAAAAACTACACTTTGCAGCAAAACGACAGGAGTTTAAACAGCATCCCAATATGCGGAGTAGCAATGTTATGGCATTGCCAGACCGAAGGTTTGAAGGAATAGCAAAAAGAAAAAAGAAAAAGTATCCGGATATTTCCATCCAGAAAATGAGCGGCTTGTCTACTCGATAAATTCCACAGTTAGTCATATCGTTTGGGCTACTAAATTTGCTGAATGAACGCTCAAACGTTCACAAATTAGAGCATGCTGTGAGGATATGTGGTTAGCCGCTATATTTCATCCGTGCAAGACTTGAAGCTTGTGCAACGGGAATGATCACATCATAAATCACAGCTTGAGTGGCCTCAACCCGCAGCCTTTGATCGTTACGGTTCATTTATTCACACTTTACGGAGAATAGCATAACAACACTTCTGCTAATGCACTTTTACTCGGGATCGTTGAAGTCGTAAATCGTCATTAACAACGGTGCCAAAGAGGATATGGTGTGAGTTGTTTAACCTGGAAAAATCATTTGAATGACTCCAAGTGCTAGGTGTCATTTTGTTGGCCAATGGTCAACTTCAACGTGAGGATGTTGTATTTGGTCGATGTACTACTTGAGATAGTTTTATAGGTAAATAGTTATTCTTTAGCATGTCACATAGTTGATTTTTTTCGATAGACGTCTCTATTTAATCTTTTCATATCAACACAGCAAAACTGCGTGTGATATTTTGATGCAATAAACATAGACGGTCATGGTGAAAAATATTGCCCTCTCTGACGCCACTGTAGCCCGAAGGTGAAGACCTCAACAACCATTATAAAGCATATTTCGGTCTTCACACTCGATCTATAGTGACGTCATATCCGGGGCAACAATTCTTACTATTGCCCGCTATCCCATACAGCATTCATATATTTTCAAATGAAGACAAGCTATTAAAAGCGAAGAGCTCAACTGAAATCACGGTGGTGCAACGGCTATTTAGCATACAAAGCCGATATTAAGCCCGGCGATAACCATTCAAAAGGGTTCGTTAGGATCGCTCGCTTTCATCCAGTCCCGCCATTTATCAACGCATACTAATAAATGTTATCTGCCCGACGTCTACAGTTCAAATGAGCACGACCGTTTGTAATGTATCTGACTGAAGCATCTACGACGTTCAGAGGTTTTCCTATCGTAGTCAGAAAAAGTTGCGGAAAAAGGTGCAAATCATACGGAAAGAGATCTACTGAAAAGCCTAGGAAAATAGCTGTGTTTGTAGACAAATTCGTCCGGCTGCTTGTGACACTGCTGTTTGACTTTTACTGAAATGCACAACGATTATTTTTGTTCATATTTTGGTTACAAAACAACGTGGGCTGGAAAAGGATGCGTGCAATGGCCTATCTTCAGCCAACACAAAATGTAACATCTACATACATCCAACACTAAACCAGTGGTTTAAACATTCTGCGAAATGCAATAGATACACTGCTGAAAAATATGTTAGTTTAATGCTGGAAAAGTCGAAACTCGCACAAAGTTGTTGGTATTACTTGTTTTCGATTAAAGCGACTTCACGCAATATCTTGACTGCTACGAGTACACTGTAAAACATATAAATATAGGGTTACTATCGCAATAAACCATGACCTAGTTGCTATGCTAGGACTTCCTCAATAGCAGATATAATCTATTAGTTGGCGCCAAAAGAGGCGAGTCAGTTTCTGTCCCCACTGAGCATAGCAGAAACACTCCTACCGGTACGCAACAGTGGCGGAACAAAGAGTGCCGAGAGAGGCACTCGAGACGCCCGCGAAAGGATACGCGGCGGAGGCGGTTTCTGCTCCACGAGAGGACTCGAAGGGCGCCGACGTCGACAGTGAATAACTCATCGGCGTCAATAAATCTGGCGGCGCTGTGTGAAGACGAACCACTCTCGGCACCTCCCGAATGGAGTCGGCCGCCGCGCGAAGACGGCGGATATCGAGGGTGGAGGTGGCGAGAGCGTCGGGCAGGCCCGTCGGTAGGGCTAGGTCCGCTCTGAGACTGAATTGTAAATGCCAGCCACAGCGAGTGGTGGCAACCGAGAAAAAAGATATGTCAGAGATAAAACATAATTGTATTGAAATATGAGTGCTCATACTGAAGCAGCCTGGAAAACAATTAAGTGTGTTTCAGATACGGTAAATTGATTAAATAAAATATCAAATATTTTCGCTATCCAACCTTCCGTGAAACATAAACAATACGCTATTGCTACTAAATTTTGTAATTATCTTGGTAAACATTCAGTAACCTCTTACATAAACTGTTTTGGCTGCTTCATTATCTTAGCATATTGAATATGTCATGCCCAATGAAGACTTGCCGTAAAAAGGCTTCAAAAATAATAGCTCACACAGAATGCAACCTCTCAAAGTTGATGAGCACCTGTACATCAAGGGCGACGCCTACGGCACTTACCACGATACCGTTTGCCTCAAATGTACCAAAATGTGGTGGCCTTCGTCAGTATTCTAATAATCAGTGCTGCGCACTTGTTCATTTTGCTGCAAGTCACTTTGTGTCGTGTTAAACTTTGTTGAGCACAGGACACGAACAATTTGGCCTTTGACAGGTATCCTGAGATTTACCACTGCCGCTGCGCACAGGCTTTGACAAGTGTGAAAACTGGACGATGGAATTAGACAATAGACATGGAACTAGAATTAGACATGGAATTAGACAGGTGGAGACATAAATATTTAATAGTGAAGTGGTCAAACAGTAGTCGGACATAGACAAGGGATGGTGAACCGTGGATGTCATCTAGAGCTCATCATTACCCAGATGGCAGGCAGGTCTTTGGATATTTTGCTCAGGCATCGCAGCCACTGTGCACCAGTCAAAACCACTCAGATCCAGCACTCACCACTTTATCTCCGAGGTGTTGGATGTTACAGTGTAGGTGAGCTGGTCGTCCCACTGACGCCACCACATGTCGTACGCTGTTGTTCATGAACACCGGCTGTAGCATGGAGGGACGCTGCCACGGCGGACGGGACGGCGGCTCATCGGCAGTCAGAATCAGCGCGCCACCTGTCAGCAGAGGGGTGACAGACTTGTCAATTCAGCAGAGAGATGACGGAGCTGTCGATCCAGCAGAGAGGAGAAAGGCCTGCCAACATGACACTTTGCACCGGAGAGGGATGACTCTTCCTCCTTATATCTTATAAGTACATAAATGCATCGTAACTTGTGATTAATCTGTAAATCCTTAATGCAATGCGTATAGAAAAGACCATTAATGGTATAGCCAGTCAGATTTTGTATTATATTTAAGCCAGAATAAAACATGGTCAGAATCAAATCAAATCGGTGAATACTTTTGACAACATTTCAGCACTCTCCCTATAGTTAAAAAGTAACTAATGAGGGACAGTTGCAAGGTCTAAGCAACAATTTGATTTGAAAAATGGTATCGAATCAATATTCCTGTGGGCTTGGAGATATCAAAACGTGTACCTGTGTAGCACAGTGGGCCACGTCGGAAACTACAGCAAACATAATTGCTGACTGTCACTGCGTCATGTCACCACGCTGCTGATAGCCAGCCGGCGTTTTGTGGGACGCGTGAGCTGGACTACGACTCCCGTGCCTAGATGGCGCTAGTGACAAACGCCTGGAACATAGGCTGTGCCGCGCAACTTGAGGAAAGAGCTCAGTAGTCCGTAAATATTGAGATATAGATATTCGAATAGTGAACTTTGGGCAGCGTCTTGTAGTTCAAGTATTTATGGATATTGGATAGGACGTGAACAAGTGCAGTATACTGTCTAGGATGTGACGTGGCTTGCGCTATTAAAAATAGTTTAAATTCATTCACATGCATTTCTATGTGGCCAAACGTTGTTTTGGTTCCAGAAGACCCTAATCCCACACCACCCAACAGCAGGGTTGAGCTGCTTCAGTCAAATAAACATTAGCTTCATGATGCTGGAATTTCATACGGTATATAAATTGCTCTTGTCACATTCTACATTCAACATCAAGCATAATATACGTTCATATAGCTGTTTGTCCATGTACAATCTAACCGTTGACGGCATCACTAAATCATGTCCAGCCTCGCCGGTTGTATTCCAAGTGTGCGTGTCTGAACCCTCCACCATTCCCTAATGTTCAGTTGCTCGTCCATAAATTTGGCACCACATCGTCAGGCAGAAACTCAACGAGACACGCTTCTCTAAATAATGTCGGCCGCACGCCGGGAAACTCGTGTATGCCGTCTGCTTTATCGAGGCTGGCGCGTCCGGCGGGGCCGTATTTTAGCGGCCACTGACCGCGGATCACGAAACAAACGTTTGCTCATCGACGGCTCGGCCACCGGCTGTGGAAAGGTGCAGTGCACACCGGTACTCGTGTGCATTCGCCCTGGCTGGCGAATGCACGTGAGCGTGTGTACAGGCATAAGTATATGCATAAACGCATGTTTGCAGACATGTCTTCATGCATAAATGTGGTGTATGACTGTCTCGTACATGCTGCACATGACAGACTGTTGAAAGCTTTGCCCGTACAACTATCCTGGCATAAAGCGCGGTATCGAACCTCAACTTTTGCTTTGAACGAAATGCTTGACTTGGTGCCGTTTCTTTTTGGGGAAATTTTTCGATACTGTTGCGCTTCACTTCCTGTTGCTGATGCACATTGCATATAGTTACATGGAGAGGTACTTACAAGACATGGGCTGTTGATTGTTCAACAAGACACATCTGAATGTTTTTCACTTGTGTTACAGCATGTGTTTATGTAGACAGCGTGAAATATTTTATTGCATTTAACCCGCGCCCCGCTGGGGGGGGGGCAGAATCTGCCCCCCTCCCGTTTTTCGCCAATAACTTCTAAACGCGTTACGCCAGCAACGTCAAACTTTCAGTACCTTATCATACATTAATTTGACACGTTCCCTGAAAATTTGAGCGAAATCCGTCGGAAATTTTTTGAAAAATTGACGTTTTAGTGACGTCATGTTCGCCATTTTCGCCTAAAAAACGGCAAAATTTCAAACGCCGCTACCATCTTCATTTTTAAAGCAATCAAGACGTAACAAAAAAGGTTATACGTGATTCTACTTTGTCTATCAAATGGCTATCTCGGATTTTTGAAAATTTTGGATTTTGTCCCAATTTTTTAAAAAAAAACTGACTTTTTTGGTAAAATAATCATAAAATCCAAAATTTTGAGTGTATCGAAAAAAACCGGAATATATGTCAGAGACGTGGTCTATGTGCACCTACATACCAATTTCTAGAAGAATCGGTTCAAAAATGTGGGAGTTATTTAACATTTTATGACGTCACGACACACAAAAATTTTGAAAAATGATTTTTTTTAGAAGTTCTAGACCTCGTACGGAAACAAAAATAGCACCATTCGATTCGCCGTGAAAAACTGCATCAGATAGACACCTTTTTAGGCCTTAACAACCAACTTCAAAATTTGACCTCACTTGACCTGACCTTGACCTGACCTCGACCTGAAATTCATCCAGAGGTGGTCCATATCACTAATTGAGTGTGTCTATTGAATTCTATGAGTAAAATGACCCATAAAACATGTGTCGCACATGCCCTTTTCTATATTTTGTTTTTGGTGACCTGACCTGACCTAACCTGACCTTGACCTTGGCCTTTGAATGACATTGTATGCAACGAATATTGTCTTGGTAGTCTAAGAACGCGTTTTGGGCAGTCAGTCTCAGTCCATTCTTCGGCAACTACGGTGCAAGGCCGATACTGTAGAAACTTGCATTTTGTACCCTTGACCTGACCTTGACCTGACCTCTGACCTACTTAAGCAAAAAAATTGGGCTCTTAAGATCCGCCTTGTTGAGAGCTTTCGATTGCCGTTTTCCCCCGTCTTTCTACGACCATCGGTTCGGAAGTTAGCCAGGGGGGGGGGGCAGAATCTGCCCCCCCCCCCGCCCCCAGCAGGGCGCGTATGGCTGAATAGCCCAGCGGGGAGCGGGTTAAGTTATGCATATTTTCTTGCTATTTTTCATTTATACCATCTTATGTAAACAGTGGAAGATAAGATTCACTTCTATGGAAATGTTGAAGACTGTGCCATCTGTTTAAAGATGTCTGCTTGGGTCAAGAGGGATTTATGAGATCACAGACTCTGCGCGGTAAGTAATGGTCTCGAATGAACTCTGTCTCTGTCGGGCAGATTGTGAAATTCCAGCTCGGAGGCGAAATTTGTGGCGAAACTTTTCGCCCTCGAATGAATAGACCCGGTAAGCTCTTCCCAATAGCGTCATCTAATCTGGAGCGCAGCAGCGTCGACGGACTCTCTGGGCAGACAATAGCGCGGCGCTGGGGCGGACCAAGGCCGTGTGGATGGTCACAGCTTTCCTCGGCCGACCGGAGGCGCTCGCAGTCACGAGCAATGAGCGACTAGCATTGCTTAGGATTTTGGGCGGCCACGGTCGTCAGAATTCTGAGCTGTGATTGGCGCACCATTTGGGTCGGCCTTGACGAGTCGATTGCGTATTTGACATTTCCGTGTTCTGGAATCGAAACGAATCAAGTGAGCGCTCGAGTGGATATTGGACTCTAGTTGCGCATCTACTTGCATGCAATCGTCGAGGCTATGCGTGCGCTTACGTGATGAGCGATGACGTTATGCGAGCGTCATCAAATAATTTTTCTATGGGAATAAGAAAATGATTTGCCTAGTTCACTCAAATTATAAGCACAAAATGTTGCCCCATTTCTCTCCAAAAATTATTCCATTGAAAGATGTGCCTTGCGCAATGCAAAAAAAAACGGAAATGTCATTACAGGTCGATTTTTGACTTTCGGTTAGCACTGAATTTAAAAAAGACAGTTTTGATTAGAGAAAAAGAGAAAGAGAGAGAGAGAGAGAGAGAGAGAGAGAGAGAGAGAGAGAGAGAGAGAGAGAGAGAGAGAGAGAGAGAGAGAGAGAGAGAGAGAGAGAGAGAGAGAGAGAGAGAGAGAGAGAGAGAGAGAGAGAGAGAGAGAGAGAGAGAGAGAGAGAGAGAGAGAGAGAAAGAGATCCCAATACTATATATCAATTATTTTGAACATCCATATCCATCTAGTCAGATGAGTGCAAGCACACAGGTCAGGTACCTCAGGGCGTACACATGAAGTTAGGATGTCAGTGCCCCACATGGTCAAAGACATAGTGAGCCAATCATTTCACATGCAAGTCAGTGTTCAGTGTTGCCTAACATAGGGCCTCCGTGCCCATAAGGGTTTAGTTGGATCCCAGCCTCCTACATGGACACCACCTCGCGTTGGTACATACCCCGTAATGCCTTGGTATCGTAATAATACCCTGTAATGCTGAATTCAAATGAAACCAGCTTGCAGCTGCAGTCAGACAATTCTTCGCAATGTCATTGTTCTAGGACTTCCAGAACTCTGAATGAATATTCATTCTAGCACTTTCAGTAGTATTGACTGCATTCGCACCATCCATTGACAATACTTTATGACTTATTAATTTCCTATGACGGAGTTTATGGCTAATAAATTTTACTCTCTGAGTTAATGGCGTAAAACTTGCGCCCATAACAGAGAGCATCGGGCCGTCCTCTCAGTGTGGAGACTCGTGCTCCTCCTAAATGTGATGTATTGTGATCACCACCACCATCGTCGCGTGCGTCGAACCAAACATAAAATATGCTCCTTCCAGCAGTAAATGTCAATTGAGCATCATCAACAGCAGATCAAGTCCCAGATATATTGTAAATGAATACCGAAAGACTGAGAAATATAGCATGATTGCGAGTCCGGGACTGCTTAATAATGATGAGCTTAATGCATTTTCATTTTAGACTCTTACATAGCAGATTTTTAGGAAAATACAGACATGGTCGATGATCATCATTCATATAGGCTAGCCCACAAACTTACAACTTATGTAGCAGTCCATGACATTGTATTTTGGGAAGACCCACTCTATTATCTCTTGAGAAAGGTCTGTTATGTATTCATTGTTCTTCCTGTCACATTTTTAGAGCTTTGGTTCCAAAATTTCATCTAGGCGTGATGACAGACGAGAGCCAT